TATAGGTGGCCTGGGGTAGTGTGCCTTCCTGTACATGTGAAGGATGGGGGCGATAGTTCCTCTAAGCTTTCAATACAGGAATGAGATGGAGAATAGTTAGGCTGAGGTAGAAGGTTTGAGATATTGAGGGGTGAGCAGGATTAGAAATTAAGTGTGGCATCTTCTACCAGTGCCACCCGAAGAGAAAGAACTCGAGAAGGGGGTAGAGTTTGTAAGCCTCTGTAAGTTAGGAGGTGAGACAGGTTAGGTTAGTTTCTTTGACTCACGAATGAGCCTAATGGCCAGCCAATCATGGTGAATACACATTTGCATCCTAGCATCCTAAACTTTGTTTCTCTCTAACAGGCCTAGTTAGCATACTGTTTATCTTTGGGATATTTTGGAAGCAGCTCCTTTAGCTAAATTCCACTTGTGTGAATTAAAGTCTCCTATGCAATCTTTTAGTGAAACCTTTATAACATCTGAATTTCTTCTACATCCAACTAACTAAAATACGGACGAAAGCCTAGTATCTCCTTTACTTTTGCTCAGACTCCAGCTTGACTCTGGGGACCTCACTTCATTCCCTTTTATTAAGTCATTGTCTTAACCTTTCCTCTTAAGATTACATTTGATTTCAGAGCTACAGATCTGACCCAAAAGCATCCTTTTGGCAATGATAAGACAACAGAAGAGAACCTCTGGAAATCAACAACAAATCACCAACAGAAAGAATGCTGGCATACAATTCTCATTAGAATATGAGTAGAAGAATCCGCTGAAAATGGAGCGACAGACATGGAGCCAACCTGACAAAAAAGTTAAGTGTTTGATCTGCCAAAGTACAAGAAATACAATCTCAGCGGGGGTGGGGGGGGTTGGGGCAAAGATGTCATGTGTTTATGTGTATAAAACGCTCCCTGTTAGTCATCCTGAAGAAGTAAATGGCTGTCAACTATAACGTGTGTTTACTTATTTAGCTTATTTAGCAGGTTAGATATTTCATTTCGGGTCGCGTTCCGGAACACCCAACAAGCTGGGCCACGACCTCCACGGTGAGCATCCACTGTAGATAGGTGTAGCCTTGCAGCCTGGGGCGGCACTTTGTCCTGCACTCTGGGAGACTCTGGCAGCTGATAGGCCGCTCTGTTTCCAAGGGAACCGTCCTGCAATTGGTTCGGGGTGGTCTCGGAGTGATGACGCTCGGTCCTAAAGATCGACTGTTAACAGCGATCCTATCAATAGTTACATCTGAGTGTCTATGGCGTTACTCTGCGGTCTGTAGACTTCCCTACCAGGTTGCACAGCCCTATCTCTAAAACACGGCCACGCGGGAGCAGGGCGGGCGTGGGTGTTGGTGGAGGAACCACGCAGCACCTGCCAGTAGTGTTACTTCCCAGTGTGTCAATTATGTGTCAGTTCAAGAGTTGAGTTTTAACAGACCACAGGTTACACTATTCCCCCAATACACAACCCGACTTAAGCCATTTCTCGCAAGTGCATTTGGTAATGACAAGTTAAGACGGGTGTGTTTTTGTAAAGCTATCTATTTCCATTACTCACGCTGGATTGGAAACGCTTCATCTCTGGCTCTTTAAACACACCAGGGAACTCTTTTTTTTTTTTTTTTTTTTTTAATTACACTAGGGGAAGAGCATATGTTGGGGAGATCAGAGAACAACTTACAGGTGTCAGTTCTCTCCTTCCCACTATGTTGACCCCGGTGATTGAATATTAAAATCCTAGAAGGCAATGCCTGAGAAACAGCTTTAATTTGGATCGATGTTTCCAGAATTTTCATGCCTACTATAATTTCATTTTAAATTCACAAATCAATCACCGTATCAGTAATACGCTGAGAATAGTGCAACATACCTTGAGTGGGTCTTGAGATGTTTGTGCCGTTTCTGGCTCTGTTACCCTCATTGTTTGTGTCTTTCTATTACTAAACTCAGGTATTTCATATGAGCATTATAACATAAAAGTCTGCTCCTTATTCAGACTGCAAATAATCTCCCTTGTAATATTATAAAGTAATCATATTAGAGGACATTTGTCGTTCTCGCCATTTCCACTTCACAAAGGATGCTTGTGATAATTATCTTACATGACAGGTATGGTGGCACAGGCTAATTTCAGCACTTTCAATGGAAGAACTTTTTGAAAAGACTGAAAATAAGCAGGAGGAAGGAAATCACAAAGAGCAAAAGCCAACTAAACTGAAAACAGAAAGATGTTTCTTTGAAAATGCAGTAAAATCGGGTAACTCCCTGAGAAGACAAACATTACTGATGACAGGAAGACACTTTTCTAATCCCCAAACCATGGGTACAGTTGCATGTGCCTATAGTCCCCCTTATTCCATGTACAGGGACAAGGAGCAGGTGAACCAGAGTTGAACAGCCTGGGCAACAGTGTGAGACACCCATCTTAAAAAACACAACCTCCTTTATTTACTGTTTCTATTCACTGTACTGTGATGAACCATAACATGACCCCATTGGTCAAGGTCGTGTGTTGATTGCTTAGTGAGCTGTGGATGCTGGATCTTGACTCACAAGTGCTTAGAATATGGTATGTCCTGAGGCTGACCAGATGGTGCCTGGGCAGTAGGACTCCCTAAGACTCCAGGCCCCACACCACCTTGGATGTCCCAGACAACCTATGCTACTAGCTTTTTTCTGGCTAGGGTCCACCAGAAGATTAGCAGTAGGTGGGGAGATGTCACAGTCTATGAATCAGGATCAAGCTTGTCCACTTTTTAACAAAAATTTTACTGTGTGGATGTTTTGCCTGCATATTGTGTCTGTGCACCACTGGTGGGCCCGATGGCCATGGAGTCTGGAAAGGGTTACAAATAACTGTCTAACACCTAGGAATTGAACCGTGGTTCTCTTGAAAAACAGCGTATGCTTTTACCTGCTGATCCAGTCCCTAAACCTGTTTACTCTGGTCCCCAGCATCCTGCTTTTCAGTGCCAATCCTAAAGCATTTCCCACAGTACCTTCCAGGGATAGTTACTCCACCCGACCAGGGCATGGAACGTGAATTACAGAGATGGCCCTAGAGCCTTGGGAGCTTGAAAAGAAGAATCCAGTTTTCTGTTATTACTGTCTCCATCACTGATGAGAGCAAAGAAAACTGCAAAGAATTAACTAATTTTATCCTCACCGTTAAATGTAAAGATTGTTTTCAAACTTTTCCAACAAGGCAGCACCAAAAATGTAAAGCATCTTGTCTTTGTTAAAGCAAAATACAGGTTATATCAGAGTCCAGACTTCTCAATTGGGCAGACAACCTAGCAGGGAACTTGAAATACAGATTAAAATGAGGATTTCTGATTAAAGCAAGCTTTGCCTTTATTGCTCCAAAACAAAACGTGGCTTTCACAGAGCAAAACAACACCTCCTTTCTTACTCAGTACTACTTTCTCAGGTCCCTGGGTATGTTCCTTAGTTTTCAGACTGACAACAGGAGATACCCTGGTTGTGACAGCATGGTGTGTTTGCCTTTCATTCACGTGTGAAGTGTCTTCTGGTGGGACAAGGGTGGGCAGGGAGGACAAGAGGAAAGGTGGGTTGATGTGAGGGATGAAGGGGGAAACCCTGACAGGGTAGGGTGTAAGGAACGGAAACCGGAGAACAGAGGTGAAGGGGAGAACTGGAGGACTCTAGCAGAAAGAATGAGGGTGGGGTGTGGAATGGATAGTGAGCAAAGCTTGTCTTGAGAACCGTGTTAATTCAGATTCAAACATTCCCAGAGGGCCAGGAAATTGGGAACCTTGAGAATATGGTCTGTTCCAGGCCTGCAAGGTGAACATGATTCTCCTCTTGCTATTTTGAGCAGTTAAGAGACTTTAAAGAACTTAATTCTTTGACTCCAGGACATCTATATCAAGGTCACTCTTAGTGACAGTTTGGTATAGTTAAAGTTCAGCTGCATGTCCCTCCAAATCACTTCATTCTCCTCCATTCTTTTTCCCCATGTCTTCCTAAGGGATCATGTTTAGTGTTCCAGGATCTTAGTCAATTCATGGTGGAAACCTCACTTTGCCATTTCATACATTTTAGTAGGATCTCAGCTTGAACTTCGAGTCTCATCTTGTCACCAAGTCTGTAGGACTGGTTTGACTGCTCTAGATGTGGCTTTGGAGTTATTTCATGGGTATGACTGGCTAAAACATAAAGTAATATAATCATAGGTTAACTAGAGCTACTCTGGCAGTTGTGGTCACTAGAGACCCAGAGTACTGCATGACAACTTCACCTCTAATTCACAGCCAAACTGTCTTGTCATTCATGATGAAGCCATGACCAGCGGTCTAGCATTCAGAGAGAAAATGAGGGTTTATTGAAACACAATCCCTCTGTTTAATCCTCCAACTTCTGCTTCATTGGCCAGAATCCCATGTCAAATCTAGTGCTCAGACTGAAAAGTTACAGATTCTGACGTCCCCTCCCAACCTTGGTGCTTCTGGTAGGAGCAGCACTCAGATGCTCTTCACATATATCACCAATAACTCCTATTCCAGGTGCTAAGGGCAAAGCGAACTGTCAGCTGAATTAACTTTTTTTTTTTTGGTTTTTTTACGAGACAGGATTTCTCTGTTTTGGAGGCTGTCGGTCCAGCCTGGCCTCGAACTCACAGAGATCCGCCTGCCTCTGCCTCCCGAGTACTGGGATTAAAGGCGTGCACCACCAACGCCCGGCAACTTTTTTTTTTTAATAAAGCACACATTAAGACAAGGGTACTTTTGAAAAATAAAATGCCAATGCCCAGATCTTATTTATAGTGGAGATGCCAGCTAGGGATAAGGCCCTGGACAGGAAACTTCCAGTGTTTTGAGGGTTCTGGTGTGGACAGATAGGGCTAACTACCACCTACAGCTCTGGATTCCACGAGATCACAGTGAGGTAAAGCTCACCCTAGACCCTCCCCCCCTATAGGTGCTTCCTACCATGTTTTCTGCCTTTCACACTCCTCTGTCCTTCTCGAAACTTAGACACATAAGGCAGAGAAGCAACATTTACATTATTTATTTGTCAACTTCCAGGAACAGGGTCTCTACTGATTAAGTAGAAAAATAGAAAGTTTACCACTTTTAAAAGGCAACTATGACAAACCAGTATATAGCCAGGAAAGGGGTTTCTAGGACTCAAACATCAAGTTTGCAGTGCTGCCGTGACAACCAAAATGAACTGTGTTCTCCACATCCTGAGATTTGTGACTGGCATTTCTGGACAGAACTGGGCCAAAGCCAAGAAGCCTTTCTCATCCCCATTAGCTGGCCCAGTCCTGGAATCGGAAGCAGTCACTTGCTATCTTCCACACTGTGTTAGTGGGTGAAGCCTGGGCAGTCAAGATGAAGTTCTGGTTGAAGTCCCGCTGTTTGTTGCCCTCAAACTTCACTGATCCACAGATCACCACAAGGACAGTGGTCTGGCTTGGTGTAGCTTCATCATGGACAGGCTGGCAGTCTACCACGTTGATCTGGAACTCACTGGAAGGCAACATCTCAAAAAATTCATTCAAGGATTCTTGTCCTGAAACAGCATTTCCATTCCATACTAAAGTGGCAGTGCCCATGTACAGGCGGGATAGCAGCCGCCGCCGTTTATCCATGGTAGTGTAGTAGACATTGACAAACTCCTCTGCAGCTCTGCAGGCCTGGTCCACATAGGTCTTGAAATCCACTGACGCCATCTCTGCTTCTACTGACAGAGGTTTCTGTCAGATTGGCTCCTCTGTGGGGATCCAGGGACTGTAGGACAACAAAGATGATGGGTACACATGTGAATATCAAAGTCTATTTGGCTCTGATAAAACTTTTAAGTTTCAATTTTAAAATTTATATTTGTGTTGTGCAGGTTGTGCAGGAGTCTTCTCTGCCCACCACAAGTGTCCTAGGAATCAAACTCAGGTTGTTAGGCTTGACAGTAAGCACTTATATCTATTGACCCATCTAGCCCCCAACCCTCCTTTTCCATAGGCGACAGAACATTACATACTGCTGGCAGATGACTTTAAGCTCAAACTGTTGCCTATTTATTTTAAAGGCAGGGTTTCGCTATATAGTCCTAGCTGGCCTAGAACCGAGAGATCCATTTGCCTCTCTCTGTCAAGTGCTGGAATCAAATGCATTCACCACCAAGCAAGCCCAGCAATTGTTGCTTGTTTAATCTTACTAATCCTCTGTTTCCTCATCAAAAAAAAAAAAACAAAAAAAAAACAAAACAAAATTTAAGCCAGGAGTGATAGGGCACACTGGAGAAATTGAGGCAGGTGCCAGCCTGAAACCAAGAGAGCAAGCCTGATCTCAAAAACAACACAGCAAACCTGGTTTCAAAAAACAAAACAAAACAAAAAACAAACAAACAAACAAAAAAAACCAAAGTCTGATCTGTTTGTTCATCTTACAATGGGATTTAAAATCCATTTTATTATTAGAGCACATCCCGAAAGCTTGGAATAGGTGTGGCTCATCCTAGTCAAGATAGTGGCTCAAGCTGAAGAAATAAGTGGTTACTGGCCCAACAAAGGCTACCAGAGAGCGGGTGACTGACAGTCTGGGAACCCACAAGGACCCTGGAGAAGTAGGGAATGGCATATTTCTCAGCGAGTGGAGGATACTGGTCACAATTTCCAAAAGCCAGCCAGCCCAAGATTGACTGGAATTTCCATCTTTAGCACTAATGTCCATCATGTAAGACCAGAGGGACTGTAATAACACAGCAGAAAGACCTTAGAATTCAAACAAGACTCTAAATTTTATTTTTTGTGCATTGGTGTGAGCTGCCATGTGGGTACTGAGAATTGAACCTGGGTCCTCTGGAAGAACAGCCAGTGCTCTTAACAGCTGAGCCATCTCTCCAGCTCCTGTTTTTTGAGACAGGTAACCTGTGTAGCTTTGGAGCCTTTTCTGGAACTTGATCTGTAGATCAGGCTGGCCTTGAACTCACAGAGATCCACCTGCCTCTGCCTCCTGAGTGCTGGGATTAAAGGTGTTTCCCTCCAGAGACCAGCTCAAATCGATTCTAATGGGAAGGGGATGGACAGTTTTATTTGTATCTGAAAGATCACAGTTCCCTAAAAACATTTAAGTTCTAAAACATAAACAGCATATTTTTATAACAGGTTTGACTGTTAATTTCTTCTATGATTAAAAATTTTCATTTAAAAGAAACCAGTACTAACATTACTGAAAAGAGTAGACACAAGTAATTTATAGTGGCAATTTACAGAAACAGGCTCTACTGAGTAAGCTCAGAACTTTTTTATTTCAAGTACCTTTATTTTATTGACACGGGGTCTCTATGTACTTCTGGAACTTGTTATGTAGACCAGGTCGAACTCACAGAGATCCACCTGCCGCCGCGGGAAGAAAGGTGTGCCCGGCCCAACTTTTATCTATTTTTTAACTATCAGCTTATGAACGATGATTCCACACAGGGCTGGCAGGAAGCTGGTCCTAAAGATGAGCGGTTCAGAAAGTTTGATATTGCTCTTTGCATTCTCTCCAAGGACCTCAGACTCAACAATCAATAACATGTGTTAAGCAGTTTAGGATCATGCCCTCAATCATCACTGCACACATGGGTATCACTGTAACAGCTTTACTAAGGAGGAAGAGGAGCTTGCACACTCTTGGTCGACTCAAGGTCGATCTAGGAAAACCGAGGTCAAGGCCAACGTGTCCTATTTACTAAGTTCCTAGACTTTTGAGAGTAGGTCTATATGAACACAGCTCCAGGGATGCCAGCCTGGGAATGTCCTCCCAAGTAACCACATTTCTCTCTGCTCAACCAGACCGCTTCCTCTAGATGCTGCCGGTTGACCTTTTCTCTTCTGCCTCCAACAATGGTCACGCCCCCAAAGGAGGCTCACCCCTATTTCTGGTGCACAGCTACCCACAGAACCTGCTCAGCTCTCTCACACCAGGGGAAAACAGTAAGACCGAAACACAGTCGAGCGAGAAGCCAGGAGGACGCTCCACTCCGTGGTTCATACTCCAGCTTCCTGGAGCTGGAGCCCAGGAGCGGCAGCCGTGTCCCGGGCCTCATGTTCAGCCGGGCGTCGCTAATCAACGCCGCTGGCAGATGGCAGCACGCTCTTCAGAGCCACCATCCGGCCCCCAAGCAGCCGCTCTCCACCAGGCAGGGCAAACTCACCGCCACCGTTTTATACAGAAAAAAAGCCTGATGCCCAGCTGCAAAGACACCACGTGGGGGAAAAGACAACACTCAGCTCTTATTGAGCCTGAGGGAGGCAAGGGGTCCCGTCGGCCACCGTGCAGCCAGACAGGGGCGGCCACCTACCTGCTCCGCCCCGGTCAGCACCTCCAAGGCGACTCGGTCCCGGGTCCCGCCCCGATCGCGGTCCCGGGCCAGAAGATTTAAGCTCCTGCCCTCCTCTTCCTCCCAGAGGCTCCGCCTGAGGCGCCGGCGTCCTGGAGGAGGGGAACGGTTGGTCGCCGGTAGTGGCTTCCCGCGCGCGGCGTGCAGCGGTCTACGCAGGCGCGAGGGCCTCGATTCCAAACGGCTCCCGCCTTCGCGTGACGGGCAGCTAAGCGAGCCAGTAGAAAGGCTGGCTCCGCCTAGGTGTGGCTGCAAAGACAATGCGGCTTCCGGCGCAGTCACCAACCCAGAAGTTCCGGTTGAGAGAGCTCCTATTGGAGGGCGTGAGAGGGGGAGGAGTTACACGCTTAGCTGCGGAAGACTTGGCTGCCGCAGAGCTGTCGGCTTAGGCGCATCTGGCTCCCTTTCGTCTGTCTGTGTTCAGTCTTTGTGAAGCCTCGTGAAGCTTCACGGCTTGGCGCCATCTAGGGAGACAGCAGCATGGCTGCAGTAAAGCTCTGGACTGAACCTAGTACATAGGACGTCCGCAAAATTGGAGTCCGAGTGGAAAGCTAAGTGAGGGAGTCCTGCGGAAGTCCATGGGGGTCAAGCATCTTATCTGACGCTCCCTTTCCTAGGTGAAGCTACTTAGGGTAGACATTGCAGATGTGCTTATACGAGAGAAGCATTTTTAGTCAAGTAAGAAAGACTGAGGGTAGGGCCGAGGTTGCGGGAGAGGCGACAAACCGTGCCAGCTGATTTTCTATGCGTTGTAAATTGGTTTCCCCGCTAGCTCTAGCTGTGGCGAACTGTTCCCACATGTAAGTTTGGTTGGTTTGGTTTGGTTAATCTGGAGCAATCTTTTTTTTTTTTTTTTTTTTTTTTGGTTTTTCGAGACAGGGTTTCTCTGTATTGTTTTGGAGGCTGTCCTGGAACTCGCTCTGTAGACCAGGCTGGCCTCGAACTCACAGAGATCCGCCTGCCTCTGCCTCCCGAGTGTTGGGATCAAAGGCGTGCGCCACCAACGCCCGGCTGGAGCAGTCTTGATACTTAGCGTTAGAACGGAACCATTTAGAAACTGCCGAGGGTGACACAAAACCCGAAGAGCTCATATTTCCCGAGACACCGGATTCTCTGCTTCATCTATCCGGCTGGGAGAACCCTCTGGAAGTGACTAGGTTAAATGAAGTACTGTGTTTTCTTGGCAATCTCTTGGGTCCTTTTGTTCATGTTCTAAGGTAACCTTTGCTTATAGACCTAAGAAACCAGATGGGATACTTAATATAGGCCACTTCCTACTGTAGGTGAAAGGTTTTCATTATTGAAAGAAGTTGGATGGTGAGTTTAGAGGATGAATAAATGTCTTCGGAGGAATAGTTACACCAAAATGACTTTATAAACCTGGTTGTAGGTAGTGATAGGTCCTACGACTTTTCTTGAAAAAGAACTTGACTTTTATTCTTTCTGTAGCCCTTGAGTTTGGGGTGATTAGAGATACCTCTGACTCTAGGAAACATATCAATGACACAGTTGAGGGTATGTATTAGTCAAGTTTCTCTAGAGTAATAGAACTTATAGAATGAATGAATCGCAATCTCTCTGTCTCTCATACCCTATGGTTCAGCTAGTCTAACAATTGCTGCTAATGAATGTAAGGCCCTAGTCCAGTCAGTAAGGCTGGATGTCTTAGCTGCTCTTCAGCTGGAAGTAGGCTTTAATGCCAGCCAAGGAATGGACTTGCTAGCAAGGGTGAGAGCAAGCAGGCAAAGACAAACAGCTTTCTTCTTCCATGTTCATTATAAACACTTCCAGTAGAAGGTGTGGTCCAGATTAAAGGTGGGTCTTCTCACCTCAAAAGATACGGATTGAAGGTTTATTTTTATTACCTCAGAAATCATATTAAAATTGTGTCTTCCCACTTCAAATAATTATTTGAAAAAAAAAATCTTCACAGGTTTATCCAGTCATTGGGTTTTAGTTAATTCCAGATGTAGTCAAGATGACAACCAAGAATAGCCGTCACGAGGTATTTTGGAGATCCAGTTACTCTCATTGGACTGGAGAAGGAGTTTGATAGGGCATTCTGGGAAAGGAGAGGGTTTTTTTTTCCTCTTTCCTTTTTGAATATGGGTATGAACAGCAGTTCTCCAGTCTTCCTCCTCCTCTGAGGAGAAACTGACTCATCAGTGATGAGGCAGACAGGAAGGGTAAGAAGACTATCCACTACTATCCTCTGTCCTCTTCAGTGTGTGTGTGTGTGTGTGTGTGTGTGTGTGTGTGTGTGTGTGTGAGAGAGAGAGAGAGAGAGAGAGAGAGAGAGAGAGAGAGAGAGAGAGGCAGACAGAGACAGACAGAGACAGAGACAGAGAATGTGATGTGCTGCCTAAATGCTTTGTCACTGTCCCACTCTTCAGTTTTGGACTTCACAATGTCTAGAGTCAGTGTTTAAAGCTGGGCATCATTTTAATTGCTTTCAGCTCAGCATTGTGTCTTTGAGTATCAGCAGTGTGATTGAGGCATGTGAGTGTGCTTGTCTGGGAAGCAGCTGCCTGCTCTGTAAAGCAGGGACACTAATGATTTTCTTGGAATGGCTTCAATGGGTCTGAATCCAAATTAGCATCCAGAAACATTAATGGGACTGAATTATGTTTTATAATTTATGTCCACAGCAACTTCCTCATTTGTTAACAGTCTTTCTAATGAAATGATTGACTTTTACATTTGGGATAAGCATATGACAAATTGGTGGGATTTGTTACCTGATCACATGGGCACTTTTGATAAATGAGCTGGCCTAAGCAGCTGTAGAACCAGTATTCCCGTTTGCCATATGAAGCCTGTCCAGGAAGAAGGACATATCTGGCCATATACAGAGTTGGACCTGACTTAAGAATCATAAAATCTGTCAACATGGACTTGCTCTCCCTCCCCCACTGTCAGTGCTCTTCCCTAGTATAGAATCTGAACGGCATGTTTCCAAAAGCAGCTGTGTGACTTACAGTCTGTGAATTCACAGCTGCGTCTCTGCAGTTGTGACTCTGCAGCTGTATCTTGAATACACTGTCACCTGAACCACATCCAATCTCTTGACCTTGGTGGGTCCATCTGAGTTCTGGTGGACTAGGGAGAGCGAGGGCCATGTTTTTGTGAGCTCATTTAGGGACTTGTCTGTGCAGAGACTATGGGGAGACCCAGAAGAAGCACAGTCAATAGAACCAGGAAGCATTTTTTAAAACACATGCTTTGTTGGGAATGTAGCTTCCTTAGATATTACATGGAAGTGCTCCTTGTGATATCACTGTTTGCCTAAGAAGGTTGTAACGATTGCTGTTGACTAAGTCTCTGGTGCACCTTTTCCCATCTCTGCTATCAGCGACTTGAAATAGTGGGACAGGTCACACATGCCTTCAGGGCCTCTGTGTAGTCAAAATGGGACATCCGTATTTATAAGCATTTGCAAAGTACAAGAAACAATTTTGGTTACTTTCAGCCAAAATATCTATGGGAAGGCTGCTAATAGAGTGAATAGCAGGCATTAGGCAGGTGCTTCCAAATGAATTTTAGGATTTTTTTTTCCTGATTCTATGAAGAATGTTGCTGGGCATGGTGACACACCTATAATCCTAGCACTCAAGAGGCAGAGGCAGGTGGGTCTCTCTGCAAAGCCAGCTTGGTCCACAAATCAAGTTCCCAGACAGCCAGGGCTACATAATGAGACTCCTTTTCAAAAAAAAAGTCATTGGCATTTTGATAGATAATGTAGACTTTGTAAATCATTTTTGGTAAAATGGCTATGTCTATAATGTTAATTCTGCTGATCTATGGGGGTGGGGCTTTGTGTCTTCTAGAGTCTTCATTTTCTTTCTTCAATGTTTAAAGTTTTCATTGTAAAGATCTTTCATTTCTGTGTTTATTTTTTAAATTTCTCACTCAGCATATTAGTTTTTGGTATATAGATTTTGGTATGTTGATTCTGTATGTATGTAAAGTGTTTTCTTGTAGAATCTTTAGTTTTTTGTGTTTTGGTCCTATAGTGAAGGCAGACGTTTGTGTCCCACCAATCACTCCCCAAACAACCACACAGAGACTTATTATTAATTACATATGATCAACTTTTAGCTTAAACTTGTCTCCAGTCAGTTCTCACAACTTAAATTAACCCATTTCTATTCAACTATGAGCTGCCCCAAGGCTCATTTTCCTCATCCATGAGCTTCCCATGTTGTTTCTTCTGAGTCTGGCTCAAGACTTTTGTGACTTCTTCCCTTCTTCTCCCCACCATTCTCTCTGCCACAAAAATCCTGCCTAGCTATCAGCCAATCAGCTTTTTATTACTAATGAGAGCAACACATCTTCACAGTGTGCAGAAGGATTATTCTGTAGCACCCTGGAGATGGAGAGGTAAAATTGCTCAGTGGTTACGAGCACTGGCTGCTTTTCCAGAGGACCTACCTGGCAGCTCACAACCATCTGTAACTTCAGTTCCAGAGAATGGGATGTCCTTTGCTGTTCTGTGCAGTCACCACACACTCACACAGTGCACAGACACACACACACACAGGGAAGACACCCAGACACATAAAAAGTTAAATAAAAATTAACTATCAGAGGGATAGTTTGACTTTTTTCTATTTTTTTCTTCCTTATAGCTTTGGTGAGCACTTCAATCATTATATTGAACTAAATGAGTAGAGTGGATACCCTTGTCCCATTCTTTCTTTAGAAGATATGACTTAGTTTTCCCCCGTGAGTGTAATGTTGGCTTTGTGTTTGTTGTATGTAGCCTGCATTAGGTGAAGGTATTTTCCTTGTATTCTGAGTCCCTCATATCTTTTATCATGAAGAGGTATTGAACTTTGATGTCAAATATTTTATTCTGTCATGCATGTGTGGCCAGGCAGGAACCTTCTTTCTCTTGGTGGTAACATTGCTTATGATCCTCCCTGTGGATCATGCAGGACTATGTGACTATGATGACTGTCCTACTGAAAGCTCTTAGAGACATTCTTACTTCTCTGTTTCTTCAAAATTTCTGTTAATTAATGTGTGTGAAGTGCCTGGAGCTTTAGTTTGGACTCTTTAATTTTTTTCTCTCAGATTTATAAAATTTAAAATAGAAACAAGCTTGTTCCCTCTCCCTCTCCTCCTCCCCTGCACCACACCAACCCCCTATACTATCCCCTTTCTGCTCCCCAGGGATGGTGAGGTCTTTCATTAGGGATCTTCAAAGTCTGTCATATCATTTGGAGCATGGCCTAGACCCTCCCCATGTGTCTAGGCTGAGAGAGTATTCCTCTATGTGGAATGGGCTCCCAAAGTCCATTCGTATTCTGGGGATGAATACTGATCCACTGCCAGAGACCCCATAGATTGCCCAGACCTCCTAACTGACACCCACGATCAGTGGGTCTGGGTCAGTCCTATGCTGGTTTCCCATTTGTCAGTCTGGGGACCATGAGCTCCCCCTTGTTCAGGTCAGCTGTTTCTGTGGGTTTCTCCAGCCTGGTCTTGACCCCTTTGCTCATCACTCCTCCCTCCCTGCAACTGGATTCCAGGAGTTCAGTTCAGTGTTTAGCTGTGGGTGTCTGTTTCTGCTTCCATCAGCTACTGGATGAAGGCTCTGGGATGGCATATAATTTTTTAAAGATGTACTTATTTTGTGTATGAGCGGTTTTTTCCTGTCTTTGTATATATGTATATTGCTAATATGCCTGGTGCCTACAGAAGCAAGAAGAGGTTGTCAGTCTCCTGGAACTGGAGTTATGGAAAGCTGTAAGCCAGTGGTTCTCAACCTTTCTAATGCTGCAAAACTTTAATATGGTTCCTTATGTTGTAGTGACCTCTAACCATAAAATTATTTTCACTGCTATCTCATAATTGTGATTTTGTCACTGTTATGAGTCACAGTGTAAATATTTTTTGGAAACAGAGGTTTGCCAATGGGGGTCTAGACTTACAGGTTGAGAAAACCATGGCTGTAAGCTGTCATGTGGGTGCTGGGATTAGAACCTGAGTCCTCTTCAAGAACGACAGGTTCTCTTAACTGCTAAGCCATCTTTCAAGAGGAACTTGTGTGCCATGGAGTATGTGTAGAAGTCTGGATAACTTAAGGGAGTTAATTCCCTCCTGCTGCAGTGTGGGTTCTGGGTATTGGATCAGGTCATCAGGCTTGGTGACAAGTGCCCTTACTTACTGAGCCATCTTGCCCGTACCAATTATTTTATTTTTTATTTTCTTTTGGTATTTACTGTGTGTGTGTGTGTGTGTGTGTGTGTGTGTGGTGATTATGTGTTCAAATATGTTCTTTAGCATGTGAAGGCCAGAGATCACCAGGTGTCTTCTTCTACCTTATTTTTAGAGAAGGCTGTCTTCATTGAACCTAGAGCTCATGTCTTTAGCTAGACTGGCTGGCTAGTAAGCCCCAGGGATCCTGCTTTTGCCTTCCCAGTGCTAGGATTACAGGTGCACCTACTGTGCCTGGCCTGAACTCAGGCCAGCACTATACTGGCCAAGCCATTTCCTCATACCATTAGTTCATATTAAAAGTTTACATTTACGCTTTTATTTATTGTTTAGTGTGTGTGTCGTGAAAGGTGCACCTCACACACGTGCATCTGTGCCATGGTATGTATGAGGAGGTAGAGGACAACTTTCAGTAGTCAGTTCTCTCCTAGCATGTGGTTCCTTGGAATTGAACTCAGGTTGCTGGGCTTGGGGACAAGTGACTTTACCTGTTGAACCCTCTCACTTGCTCTAGAATATATTCTTTAAGAACAGATTCGGGGGCTTGAGAGGACGGTTACTTGGTTTAGGTACTTACTACTTCTCTAGAGTACTGGAGTTCACACATTGGATAATACAAACTGCCCGTAGCCCCAGCTTTGGGAGAGCCAATCCCCAAAGGCACCTGTACTCATGTGCATATACGCTCATACAAATACACTCAGATATGCATAATTAAAATAGTAAAAATGAATTGTAAAAAATAATTTAGATCAGGGAGGTGGACATGGTAGTACAAGCCTTGAATCCCAGCACTTGGGAGACAGAGTCGTTGTATCTCTATGAGTTTGAGGCCAGCCTGTTTTTCATAGAGAGGTCCAGTCTAACCTATGGCTATGTAGTGATACCTGTCTTAGAAAACAAAATTCACAGAAGGGATCCAGTGCAAGGCATTGATGAGGAATGAGTAGGAAAATGGATAAGT